CAAACAAACAAACAAACAAACTAAAATAGAACAATGTCAAACAAATAGACTAGGAACCATAAAACCATTGGTCAAGCAACAGACTAGAAACGTTAGAACCGTTAGTGGAACAACTAGGAACGTTTGAACCATAAGTCAAACATCAGACTAAGAGATTAGGAACACTAACCATGACAAAAATATACGAAACTTCAGAACCAGAAGTCAAGCACTAGATTTAGAGCCATAATTCAGTAAAAACTAGGAACTTGAGAAACTTATCGTCAAAGGGAAGACTAAAAACTTCAGAAACATCAGTTAAGCAACAGACTTTGAATGAAAGTATTGTTGATGACTCAAGACAGACTAAATGATTCTTTTCTCACCAATAAAAAGAAACCAGAACTTAAGTTAAAGCTGCGAGTGTTATTTTATTGTTTTTATTTGTGTTAGTGTCAACCAAAAGATAATCATAAACAGCACGACTGTAACTTATGCTAACCATCCTGATTATTCAACTTGGGTCCCTATATGAGCATATCTATATCTTAACGCATAATTACCTACATTTTGAAGGTTGAAAATCATGTATTGTAGTATACTGGTGTGCATGTTTATCTTTACTCTACTACTTACTCTTTAATATATACTACCACTTGTAACTCTATGTCATTACACCTTGGAAGTCTGGTGTGTGTTCAAGTTGACGACGAGTACATTGACGTGAAGGGAAGGAAAAAGAAGCGCAGATACACCGGATGTGAAACGGATTTATTTTCACAACATTTGCAAAAACTCCTCTTATGAATATACACACATGGTGGGTGCCGCAAGGCATGTCGGGAACCGAACAAGTGCTTGCTACTTTGCATGCATGGTGCTCAAACTGCCTTTCCTGTTGCTATCTTTTTTCTCTCTCTCTGATTTTCTTCCACCCTACTCAAAATGTTTATTCCTCTGTATTTGACTATACTCACAGCCTTAGAAGAGATTTCCTGATTGTTAGTTTAATGAGTATTTGAGTTGCTTTCATTATGAAGGAATTTTTATTACTCAACAAGTGCCTATGTTAAATTTGATCACCTTATGTAACAACACACGTTAGCGAACGGTGTTTAACAGTGTCCATCCATGCACTGCCTGCTAACCTTCTTAGCTGGTGACAAGTTTAATTATTTACAGAAAGACAGAGGTAGACAGACAGATGGATGAAAGGACAACAGACAGACTAGACCACTGATGCTTGCTTAACTTTGTTTTTCTAGAATTATCTCGTATATTCTTGCTGGTCTACTTGTCAGCTCTAGTACTGTTTGACTCGATCAAATTACACTTATCTTGATAAAATAGAAAACGTTACTTCCTTTACAAGATAAGTAGCATGTTCCTATTCATTAGTGAAATTACGTCATCAGCAGCTCTATAAATCATTAAGCGTGTTTACACATAGGGGTTCAGTTTTGTATTTTATAACTGTATGTTTATAATTTTGTTGTTTTTATCGCTAAAGTAACCGGAAGGTTGTCTACAGGCAGAACATACACGTTTACATGCTTTAGGAGGTTATGAAGTCCTTTAATCTTTTTCTCCACGGACTTAATGTCTACAGCTACATTTTTTTTGAAGCACTTTCATTGTACGAAATGAAACTGTAACGGCTCTTATGCATTTAATTTTCTAAGTATATAAATATAAACTGTTTATGTGTGTGTGAACAGGTATCTGTTTAAACACACAAGAGTTAGAAATGAAGCTGTAGACAGTCTCTCGTTCAACATGCAAAGGCTAAAGTATAAGCTGTAAACTGCAGTGATTTCAACTGCTAGTAGATAAGTTGTTGTTTAACAATGTGTTAGAAGGTGTTGTAGATAACCTTTTATTTAACGTTCAAGGTTACAGTAGTTGTTTTTTTTATTAGCACAAAAGGCTCATAGAGAGTTGTTTAATTCACAGAATGTAAAGAAAAATCTGTAGATAATTTTTTAGTACACAGGGGTTAGAAAAAAGCTAATATACAGAATTTTAAAACGAATCTGTAGACATTTTTTTTTAGCTTATAAGGATTAGAGAGGTCGTTGTTTAACACAAAACATGTTAGATTAGAACAAAATCTTCTATGTTAAAATACGACGTTTACGAAAATAGGAGTTAAGAATGAGATAGGTATGACATAACATTGTTTCAAATATCTCAATAAAAAGGAGTTATGAATGAGATAGGTATGATATTACTTCAAATATCTCAATAAAAAGGAGTTAAGAATGAGATAGGTATGATATTGTTTCAAATATCTCAAGAAAAAATGAGTTAAGAATGAGATAGGTATGATATTACTTGAAATATCTCAATAAAAAGGAGTTAAGAATGAGATAGGTATGATATTACTTGAAATATCCCAATAAAAAGGAGTTAAGGATGAGATAGGTATGATATTACTTGAAATATCCCAATAAAAAGGAGTTAAGGATGAGATAGGTATGATATTACTTGAAATATCCCAATAAAAAGGAGTTAAGGATGAGATAGGTATGATATTACTTGAAATATCCCAATAAAAAGGAAGTTAAGGATGAGATAGGTATGATATTGTTTCAAATAAATCTTACGTAGAAGACTTTTGTATTATCGTAAGAGTTGTATGTAAAATGCTCGTTGGGATGAAGTTAATTAAATAATCTATTTGCAGAATAATAAATAACATTACTTCATGGTTAGTATGTTTAGTTTATTTCTCTTTGCGATGTGATTTCTCTTGTTTTCTTTGTTGTTGTTTTTCTGCGACAATGACACAAGCCATTCATTTTTAAAACAGATGAGGTTTCGATAAACGAAAAATTGTTCAGGTTTTCTTGAGGGTATATTTGTATGAACGACTAGTCCCTCGTACTAATTGGTTTTTGCTAATTGAAACAAATTAATGCACCTATAAACCTGAGTGTTCAATAAGTACCGAGAACAGATTTTTAAGGTCTAGGAATGTACTTGTTTCTTTTGTCATGTTTCACAGAAAAATTGCAAAAATCAACCCACAGTGATTATCAAATGCACCTAAAATACAGAAATATATTCCAAAATGATCACCAAATATACTAATTACATCAAACCCTTAAACTGTATTCTGAAATGATCACCAAATATACTAATTACATCAAACCCTTAAAATGTGTTCTGAAATGATCACTAAATACACTAATTACATCAAACCCTTAAAATGTATTCTGAAATGATCACCAAATACACTAATTACATCAAACCCTTAAAATGTATTCTGAAATGATCACTAAATACACTAATTATATCAAACCCTTAATCTGTACTCTGAAATGATCACTAAATACACTAATTACATCAAGCTCTTAAGCCCTTGATGTACTTTAAAATATATTATTGGCGATGAAGAGCTTACATGTGCGCGTAAGTTGCCCCTAACAAAATTTGACAATTTGGCATAGAGGACGCTAGTCCTTAAATCAAAATCGTTAAAGAAACTTACTGTATCCATCTTCTTTATTGACATTCAATTTTAATGATTTATATATATGTGTGTAACGTAAGCAGAGAACTTGCATATTCTTCGGGTATATTGTACAATAACGACATCACGAAAAACTGAAACTGAAAGAATCTATGGAAGGTTTGGTACGGTTAACATGATAAATTGTAATAAATATTTAAATATTAACGATGAGAAGCAAATGATGTTGCTAAGTGATTTCCTTATCCATAAAAGTACATCATTTAGTGTACACTTGGAATTACAAAAAATATAATATTTTTATAAAGCTTGAAAATAGCGAAGTGTACATTGTTTAAAATTTATATAAGGATCGTCATAATCTCTACAGAAGTGGCAATCACACTTCAAAACCTAGAATGATCTCAAAGCTGTAGCTGTCACATTTACAGGAACCGAAGTGTGTGTATAACAGCTATAAATACAACACTATCTGCCTGTTTAGCCTCTAGTTCATACTTACAGGAACCGGAGTGTATAACAGCTATAAAAACAGTACTATCTGCGTGTTTAACCTCTAGTTTCCACTTACAGTAACCGAAATGATTCAGACAAACAAACAGTATTATGTGAGTGCGTAATCTTTAGGACATCGTCACAGAGTTAAACTATACTTTTGTTAGCTATTTTACATAACAATATATTTTTCCTGTTTCTGATTATTGGATATTTTACACAACGATATATATTTTTCTGTTTCTGATTATTTCCCATTTTACACAACGATATATATTTTTCTGTTTCTAATTAGTATTGATAAGTACAAGCTTCGTTCTACTTGTTTTCACAAAGAAAAAAGTTATGTTTCTCCCCGAAAAAATAAAACAGTTCGCATTAGTTTAACTTTTTGCTTTCTTTAGTTTTCCCCAACAAAGTATAATTAGTCTGAGGTTGAAGAATGATGTTTTGTTTACACACAACTTGTCATTCGTGATGCCTTTATCATTATCTGGTTATAACTGAAGTAAAAATTGGCAGTGAAGTCTCTGAAGAAAAAACGCCTTGACGAGCGAACTATTACTATTTCTTTATTCTTCCGCAAGCCTTTTTGATTTCTTTATCTTCTACTTGATATTAGCCTGGATATTGCACACATGTAACTAGTTATTCACTATATAAATACTACTTCAAGATGAAATCTCACACAAAATCATTGCGTCTTTATTTAATTAATTTGTTTATTTTTAGTTTGAAGGGTGTAACAAGTCTTTTTCGCGCCTGGAGAATCTGAAGATTCACCTTCGATCCCATACAGGAGAGCGGCCATACGTGTGTCAGTACGAAGGTTGTTCTAAAGCGTTCAGTAATTCATCTGACAGAGCCAAGCATCAACGAACTCATCAAGACACTGTAAATATCCACTATAGAGGGCGTTACAGTATATATAAGCTCAAATTAAAAGAGTTTTGTTTGTTTGTTTATAAGAGCAAAGCTACACGATAGGTTATCTACTATGTGCCTAACTCTGGTATTTTAGTTTTATAAGCTCTCAGAACATTAAAACTGTTTAAAATTAAATTAACGATTATTTTGGACAATATATCTATTGCTAATTGCGTGTCTGAAAGGAAGCAATGTATTGTGGCATTGTTATTTAGGTTTATTTCTTGTAGGTTTGGCTACGATATATTCATGATTTCCTAAGACGTCCAAATGCTTCATTTTCACATGTCATCAGTTTTAAAGTACCTTTCTGTAAATAGTCATTATAGAGGGCGTATAAGTACAAAGAAACGGAAGTTAAAAATTGCATAGAGTAATGCCAATGATTCTGTTGAGCTATATATACGTTAAATACAGCGTTAACAAACGAGAAATGTTAATGTATTGTTATCTAGACGTATTTTCATGACCTATGAATGTTATACGTTAATGATTTTTAATTACATTAAAGTGCCCTGTATTTACACCTCATTAGTTTTAGATGTAGTACCTTTCTGACAATTTCTGTTTTGTTTTCTTGTTTTAAACCGTTTTTGTTCGTTTTGTTTTAAATGATATATTACATTTTGAATATACCTAACGAATTAATAATGTGGAGTTTTGGTACAACCATACTTTGTCATGCTCCCTGATGGCTCAGTGGTAAGCGTGAGAGCTTATAACGCTAAAAACTAAGTTTCGATACCTATGGTGGGCACAACCTGGACACCAATTGTGCGACTTTGTACTTAAGAACAAAACAAACAAACAATAGTCATTGACGTAGTAGCTTAAGTAATCTCTCCAAAAGTTTTGTAGTTTCATATAATCTTAGTTTCGAGTTTACTATTACTAACATTAAATGCCTCTGATTCAGTTAGTGACAGGCGTTTCATGTGTTTTTTGTTAAATGCTAGTTTTAATACCTAGTGTAATATAACATTCAAATATTTGTGTCTTACTTACCACTTAGCAATTGGAAACGGATTCAAGTACCATATTGCATAAAAAATTTTAAGGTTATCAAACTTAATGTAATATTATTTCTGTTCATTTTGGTAGGCATAAATACCCAATATCTATAATCTTTGAATTCTGAAAATCTTACAGAAACCTTATGCCTGTCAGATACCCGGATGTTCTAAAAGGTATACTGATCCAAGTTCACTCAGAAAACATCAGAAAAACCATCAGCCTAAAGTGGACCCAGTGAGGAAAAGGGTAAGAGTTTTTTTAATGTGATCCGAAATTAATTAATATATTATTTTCTGAAGTTCTTATTTTTTTCTGTTTGAATATCAATAATTTTATTTCAAACTTTTAAATTACTTTTATGTTCATTTTATTTTTATTCCAATCTTCGACGTAATCACAACGCAGAGGGTTAATCGCGCTTTTAAGAACGATTTGTTTATACTAATACAGCGACATGTTCACAGAGGGTTCTCTTCCATTCGGCAATGCAATATCCTCACGCTACTTAAGTCTGGGTCACAGTATTTCTGAGTAAGGATATTTGTATAATGAGATTGTTTAACGACAACGATACAGAACCAAAGCATCCAACGTTTCGAATAAGCAAGCTTTCGATGTTTTTATGGAAGGGGAATCTCGCACAGTAGAGTTGTTTAGGGCAGAAAATGGGCTTCGAAATCCTAAGCCCATCAGAAGCAATGCCCTCATCTGCAGCGTGAAAACTATACCTACGAAAATTGTTTTCAGACGCTGAAAAAGCATTGCGACGAAGCTGGGTTCATCTCCTGTTACCGTTAACAATATATAAAATACAATTTTAAACAATATATAAAAACAAACAATTCGAACAATATATAAAACAAACATTTTAACAGTATATAAAAAAACATTTGAACAATGTATATAACAAACATTTGTAGTTAACAAAGGCTCACAAGCAAAACGTTTGCAATTTCCCTGCAGTACCTCGAAACCAACAATTATTCTTATCAGAAGAGTGGCAAAACAACAACAAATAACAATCCTACACAATCACTTATCTGTCAGATCCCCCGACCTCCGTCCCCCGGTGGCCCAGCGGAAAGTTTTCGAAAAATAAAATCAGGGATTCAATTCCCCTCGGTGGGCACAGCAGATAGCCCGATGTGGCTTTGCTACACGTACTCCCGACCTCCCAACAAAGTTCCAATGGATTTCTGTGTCTTCGGTCTATTTAATATATTTTTGAAAGCCAACGTCTACATACAGTAAACGATCTGAGGAACTCTTATCAAGATTGATTTCACTGTCCTTCGCAGGAGTTTATTACAATAGAAATTGCAGGGTCGAGTAAATAATGCACAATCATGACAATCAGACTGAGCAGGGTAGTCGACGGAAGAAGGAGTTCCAAGGTCAGTACGAAAACTGAAACATTGCTCTTGTAAAGAATGATTAACCCTCATTATCAGCACTTTGTTATTCATAGAAATATGTGTTTATCTAAGTCGCATGTATTTTCTATTAATGTAATCAAATTGCTAAAACATTTCATCGAAAAAGTATTTCCTTATGTAAGTACTAAAATTAACGAAAGAAAAAAATTTTTCATAAAAACCATCAACCAGTAAGTTTTGAAATGACAGGTTATGATTTCAACTGTATGGGTTCTCATTTAAACAATCATACAAAACCACAGTTTTTAACAATGAGATCAGAAGCTACTAATTACTTCTTCGTCTTTTTGTAAATGAAACATATATATATAAAGTATATGCTTAAAGAAAAAAGCCACTGTATATTCCTATCGAACTTTGTCCTAGATTGGTTTAAAATTCCAGTAGTCCGAAATTAGAATTATCCTAAAATGTATAATAACTCATGTTCTGCATCCATAGTTTACTAACAAGCTGCAACTCATGTTCTGTTTGCAAAATTTACTAACACGTTGTAACTCATGTTCTTTTTCAACAGTTTACTAACAAATTGTAACTAATGTTCTGTTTCCACAGTTTATTAACAAATTGAAACTCATCTTCTGTTTGCAAAGTTTACTAACACGTTGTAACTCATGTTCTGTTTCCACAGTTTACTAACAAATTGAAACTCATCTTCTGTTCCAAGTTTACTAACAAGTGGTAACTCATGTTCTTTTTCAACAGTTTACTAACAAATTGTAACTAATGTTCTGTTTCCACAGTTACTAACAAATTGAAACTCATCTACTGTTTGAAAAGTTTACTAACACGTTGTAACTCATGTTCTTTTTCAACAATTTACTAACAAATTGTAACTAATGTTCTGTTTCCACAGTTACTAACAAATTGAAACTCATCTTCTGTTCCAAGTTTACTAACAAGTGGTAACTCATGTTTTGTTACCACAATTTACTAACATGTTGTAACTCGTGTGTTCTGTTTCCACAGTTGACTAACACGTTGTAACTCATGTTCTATATAAACAGTTTACTAACAGGTTCTAACTCATGTTCTGTTTCAGCAGTTTACTAACACATTGTAACTCATGTTCTGTTTCAACAGTTTGCTGACACATTGTAACTCGTGTTCTATTTCAACAGTTTATTAAGAGGTTGTAACTCCTGTTCTGTTTCCACAGATTAATAACAAGTTGTAACTTATGTTCTGTTTCTACAGTTCAATAACAGGTTGTAACTCATCATCTGTTCAACAGTTTACTAACACGTTGTTACTCGTGTTTTGTTTCTACTGTTTACTAACACATTGTAACTCGTATTCTGTTTCCACAGTTTACTAATGCGTTATAACTCATGTTCTGTTTCCAAAGTTTACTAACAGCTTGTAACTCATGTTCTTTTTTCATCCGTTTCGTGTTAGTAAACTGTGGAAACAGACATGAATTACAATGTGTTAATAAACTATTGAAACAGAACATGAGTTACAATTTGTTAGCTTGTAACTCATGTTCTGTTTCCACAGTTTACTAACACGTTGTAACTTAGGTACTGTTACCAGAGTTTACTAACACGTTATAACTCTGAGTCTGTTTCCACGGGTAGTAACAGGTTGTAGCTCACGTTGTGTTTCCACAGTTTACTAAAAAAAATTTAACTAGAATTCTGTTTCCACAGTTTACTAATGCGTTATAACTTATGTTCTGTTTCCAAAGTTAACTAACAGCTTGTAACTCATGTCCTGTTTCATCAGTTTACTAACAAGTTGCAAGTTATGTTCTATTTCAATAGTTCACTAACAAGTTGTATTTCATGTTCATTTTCCACAGTTTACTAACAGCTTGTAACTCATGTCCTGTTTCCATTATTTACCAACAAATTGTAACTCGAATTCTGTTTCAACAGTTTACTAACACATTGCAATTCATGTTCTGTTTCCACAGTTTGCTAACACATTGCAATTCATGTTCTGTTTCCACAGTTTACTAACAGGTTGTAACTGATGTTCTGTTTCAAGAGATTAATAACAAGTTGTAACATTTGTTCTGTCTCTATAGTTCACTAACAGGTTGTAACTCATGTTCTATTTCCACAGTTTACTAACACGTTGTAACTCATAATATATTCCACAGTTTCCTAACACGTTGTAACTCATAATATATTCCACAGTTTACTAACACGTTGTAAAACTTGTTCTGTTTCCACAGGTTTCTAACAGTTATGTTTCTTTATTTTAATAACAAGTTGTAACTTCTGTTCTGTTTCCACAGTTTACTAACAGGTTGTTACTCGTGTTCTGTTCAACAGTTTACTAATACGTTGTAACTCGTGTTCTGTTTCCACTGTTTACTTACAAGTTGTAACATATATTCTGTTTCAACATTTTACTAATAGGTTGTAATTCATGTTACGTTTCCACAGTTTACTAACAGGTTGTAACTGATGTTCTATTTCAACAGTTTACTAACAGGGCTAAACTCATGTTGTGTTTCAACAGTTTACTAAGAAGTTGTAACTCGTCTTCTGTTTACACGGTTTACTAACAGCTTTTAATTAATGTTCTGTTTCCACACTTTACCAACGGATAGTAATTTATCCCCTGTTTTATCAGTTTACTAACAAGTTGCAAGATATGTTCTGTTTCCACAGTTTACTAACACGTTCTACTTCATGTTTTGTTACCACAGTTTACTAACATATTGTCATTCGTTTTCTGTTTCAACAGTTTACTTACATGTTGTAATTCATGTTCTGTTTCCATTGTTTACTAACACGTTGTAATTTGTGTTCTGTTTCCATTGTTAACTAACACGTTGTAACCCGTGTTCTGTTGCAACAGTTTACTAAAAGGTTGTAACTCAATCTGTTGCAACAGTTTACTTAAAAGGTTTTAACTCATGTTCTGTTTCAACAGCTTACTGACATTTTGTAACACATGTTCTGGTTCCACAGTTTACTAACAAGTTGTAACTCATGTTATGTTTTCACAGTTTACTGAGAAGTTGTTACTCGTGTTCTGTTGCTACAGTTCACTATCAGGTTGTAACTCTTCATCTGTTCCACAGTGTACTAACAGGTTGTAACTCATAATCTGTTCCACAGTGTACTAACAAGTTGTAACTCAAGTTCTGTTTCCTCTGTTTACTAATAAATTGTAACTTGTGTTCTGTTTCCACAGTTTACTAACAAGTTGTAATTCATGTTCTGTTTTCACAGTTTGTTATCAGGCTGTAACTCATGTTATGTTTCCATTGTTTACTAAAAAGTTGTAACTCGTGTTTTGTTTCAACAGTTTACTTAAAAAGTTTTAACTCATTTTCTGTTACAACATCTTACTAACATTTTGTAACTCATGTTCTGGTTCCACAGTTTACTAACAAGTTGTAACTCATGTTATGTTTTCACCGTTTACTAACAAGTTGTAAGTCATGTTATGTTTTCACAGTTTACTAACAGGTTGTAACTGATGTTCTATTTCAACAGTTTACTAACAGGGCTAAACTCATGTTGTGTTTCAACAGTTTACTAATAGGTTGTAACTCGTGTTCTGTTTCCACATTTTACTAACAGGTTGTAATTCATGTTATGTTTCCACATCTTACTAACAGGTTGTAACTCATGTTCTGTTTCCACAATTTATAACAAGTTGTAACTCGTGTTCAGTTTCAAAAGTTTACTAACACGTTGTAACTCGTGTTCTGTTTCAACAGTTTACTAACAGGTTGTAACTCGTGTCCTGTTTCTACAGTTAACTAACATGTTGCAAGTCATGTTCTGCTTCCACCGTTTACTAACAGGATGTAACTCACGTTCTATTTCCACAGTTTATTAGAAATTTGTAACTCAAATTCTGTTTCTGCAATTCACTATCAAGTTAATAAACGTTTTATAGTGTTTTTTTTATCTTATGGTTTAAAATGGAAGTCATATGAATTTGTAACATTTCATAAAACGTAGTAGTAGTAGTTAATAATCGCATTTGTCATCGCTGCCGAGTATAAAAATTGGGGTACAGTCGTTCTTCACATATTCGATTTACATACTAAGCCATACCGGTGTAGTAACTGTCCAATATCAAGGAAATCTCTGTCAGTTTGTGAACGCCTCTCATCCTAAACCAGTTGGAACCCCAATGGCACAATGGTATATCTGCGGACTTACAACGCTAGAGACCGGGTTTCGATACCCGTGGTGGGTAGAGCACAGATAGCCCATTGTGTAGCTTTCTGCCTATATTAAAATAAAAAATATCTAAACGAGTTGACCAATCCGGACCGAACTTGGCATCGTAACTTAGTAGTCCAAAAGCAAACCAAATTCATATTAAACTTTCACATATGTTGAAAATTTAAAATATTTTATAGAATAAGCCCTATATCGTTTCTGCATTTACTGTTGTAAATATTTGAGTTTGAACAAAATTCTACAAGTCAAAGTAAGTAACATTTTCAGAATTTTGGCTTCTGCCCCATACTAAATATACAGTAATAAAATATCCAGCTACAATGCAGAGAATAAGGATATTGCTGCGGTTTAAGTTTCCTGCACTTTCCTGATTCACACCATTTAACTTACACTTTATACTAGAGTTAGCATAAACGCTTAAGCCTGAATTAGAGAATTAATTCATAATTGAAATATTTTTTAGGATATTTCTTACTTCTTGATATAGAACAGAGTTTTCTAGAAGCAAAATTCAAAATTATTATTAAATTTCATGCATTAAGTGTACCAAATTCAGACAGTACAAATCTTGACCACATCTCTACTGTGAAATGGGATGCTTTGAACAAGAAATGGCGCATCTGCTTTGCCATTTCTGCCAAGTTTCACGACTCGACTGCTACCCCGCCTCATTTCCGATCCAATTCTTCTCTCTTTGAACTATTTTCTTAGAGAATAAATGCCACTGTAAATCCTCACAGAGATTTTGCATATTTTTAGCAAATTTATGCGTGGTTTTCGCATTTTGAAAATAAAATAACAACGAAGGAGTGCAGTCTCCTTAAAATAACCGGCAAAACCTTTAAGGCAAGACATTTAAAGTGCATTACAAGAGCTTCGAAAAGAGAGCCCATTATGGACTAACAGTTCACTTTTATTTGTAGACTTTCACCGGATCTGTTTGGCTTTCACCAAAGGCAGAACAGAGTATGCAATTTGCATCTCGAAACATTAGTCAAATTGCACATCTACGTCATTAAATTAGCTTAAAAGTGTTACGTTTATTTTTCTTGTTTTAGTTAAGAGGTGGTCCTGGAGAAATGGATCCCCAAAACTTGCAGGAATGTCTTACGATTCAGCCAATAAGGATAAGTCAGAGTTGCGGATCCCCTCCTCTTCACGAACATAGTGACAATGGATTAGGACGTTCTCCCCTAAATTCCCTTCAAGGTTCCTCTAGCGACTCCTATCCGGGTAAGGGAGGTTTGAAATATACTAATTATTTCATGTTCACGAACTAGTAATAGCGTTAACTAACAGATAATGTTATCACTTCATATTGAAAATTACGTGTTTGTTTCAACATTTTACTTTTAGGTATTTTCATAATTGATTAACAATGATTCTTCGTGTGAATCATTGCCTTTCAATAATAATGTTCAGGTGAATCGCTTTTACCTCACGATTTACCTGATTGCGGTTAGCTACAATTCCCCGCATGACATTTATTACTCCAGGAAATATTAAAGTTACCTCAAATAATTCTCAACATCAGTTGATGATATCTTGGGATACAATTAAAAACCGTTAGGAAAACTTTCCCATATTAACTGCTATTGCATTGAAACATATTTGGAAATGCTTGACAAATAGTTTTCAGTTGGATCACTATCACCCTGAGATATTAATTGAAGACGATTAACAAAAGTTATCTAACTCAGTTTATGTTACCCTTGGACAGACATGAAGCAAACAGTAATTATCCTAAGAAATCGTTGACCCTTCCTGTCACAACTTCCTGAACTACTGTGACAACGTCATATAATTATAAAAATTACACAAGTCTGAGAATTTAAACATAATAAAAGTTGTTTTGGTTTTAATAACGGATTTACCATAATTCAGATATGCAGATTTCGAAAATAATATTCATTTTTTTACTATCACGTTAGGATGTTTTACAAATCGGGAAGAAAAAAAAACTCTTACTTAGATCAAATTATTATTTCGTTTATCACACTGAACATTTTTCATTAGTTATATTTATTAACAAAAATACAAACAAACTGAAGAAAAGGGAAGAACATTGATGTGAAACGAATATGCATCCTCATTCATCCAGATTTTTTGTGAAATAAATCTACGTCTTTTAGTCTCAAAACCACGTGTTGTGGTCTTTCTTTTACGTATTACGTTATGAAGTTTTGTGAAAAATCTGTGCATGGTGGAGAAAAATGGATATCATTTTCAGATTCAACGTACATGAATTACTGTAGAACACGTAAAAAATTCATGACAATAAAACCATCGCAGGCCCGTGTTATCAGCGATTTTCAAGAAGAATTACTGTTTGTCTAAAATTAGTTAAAACAATTCTGCAGGTGAATCATGATTACCTTAATACGATTCTTTAGATACAGTTATCCTGGGATATATAGAATATCCAGAATTACGTTAACCAATTCACCCACAAAAATAGCCAATTTTGTTAATATGATTTGTGGACACCCTATATTTGTACCCAACAAACAATGACTCTCCTAACGAATTTATGTTACTCCGGGAGATTGCTGAAACAACTCGAGAACTGAACAATAATTTTTCTCGAGGTTGGTTTTTACCCCGAATATCGAGCTTGAAAATGGTTTAACATCTTCTGAGGGATCTCTGCTACACCGGAACATTCAGCATTAGGTTTTTGCCTCAGTTTCTCACATTCATATATACACCACTTTGAGAACCTTTCACAACACAAGCTAGTTGGTAGTATGATCTTCAGGTACTGTTAATGACTTCCCCTGATGAAGATAAGGTAAAATGTAGCCTTATTATCACAAGTACGAATTTAACAGATTGATATAATTGGTACCAGATTAAGCAATACCTTGAACACGTGTTTTATGTATTGAATATTTATATAGTACTGTCGAATATATATAAATATATTATTAATTTTCTATATAATTTTGTATAATAACCATTCAAGAATTCACGTGAATTTAGTTTTAATAAATATTTTTCGTCAAGCTTCTCTAACTCATCATAATATGAATTTTTGCAGCAATTAATTTATCAACACACTTGTTATAGTTGTTAATATACTAAACACAGATACACACGTGTACATTTAATTATCTTAGATTATTGTTATGATGTAACCATAATATTCTGTACTAAAAATAGTACTAATATTCTCATATATAATGTGCTCAACAAGATGTTTGATATATTATTCAGGTATCTCGTTAATACCCAGCAACCAGTCAAGTAGGAGTATCAGTAGTCACACTTCTCCAGTTAGCCACCAGGGGAGTCCGGCCCTAACAGAAATCACAGAATGGTTAGTTTACGTTGGCTTATTTCCAGTTCAGGATAAAATAATCAAAACAGCGTTGTGTCACTTTATTCGATTATTGTTTAAGGGCCTTTCATTACAATAGGAAAAAAGTTGCTAAAGGTATAGTCAAGCCTTAATCATTTTAAACAATAAGGCAACTTTTTAAATACGCAACCGTATTGTGTTTGACGACTACTCACAAACGAAATTATTAAATTTCATGCATGAAGTGTACCAAATTCAGACAGTAGGGAAAGGAATAAAAAATTTATTGCATGAAACTTAAGCGTTTTTTAAAATTAAATTACCATATAAAAGTACTGTGTATATATATTTTGCATTTTGAAAACTCAAATATTATCTCGGCAAGAACGATATGTAGAGGTTTATAAATATTCGCTTCACTTATAACTTTACAGTAATATACACAAGTAGTATATCTGGTGTTAAATCCCTGTCTTCGAACCCTTCTTCATTCTTGAATAAAAACTTATTTTCAAGTTTCATTTTCATCAGCCAAAAAGTACAGTTAATAATATGTTAATCAATACTCTTAAATGTACAAACCAGTGACCTCTACGTTTTTGGTTTCGTTAGTCCAGGACGTCTATAATTTTTATATTCATGGTTGCCTCAAGGCAAAGAGCGTGAATCTGTAAATAAAATAAAATAAAATGTTCAGAGAAAACTTCTACAAGATGGTCTTGTTCCAGACTGTTAGAAACAATTACGTTTTAGCCAGCAAGTACACAGAGTTGAAAATTCAAACCTTATTTGGAGGTTTAGGAATGTTCAGATTAGATCAGCCTAGGGGGAAATCTAATTATTAAATTACTACTATGGAGAGAACAGTAGATTAATCATCTGGGACCGTGCTGTAAAGATTACAAGTTTAATTATTGTAGTTAAATGGATTATGTATCCATTGCAGTAGGCTAATGAGCTGTGTCTAAAGGATACGAGTCTCAGTTTCAGTAGCTTAATGAGTTATATCTTAACACTAAGTTTCTTAAAATTAGTAACGTTACATAAGCTATATCTTAGCTCTGTGGGTTTCACTTCCAACGTCTTAATGCACGTGAAAAACTCATTTCTACATATGTTCTCACTGGAGTCCTATATCAAAACTAAAACTTTCCGTCACGTTTTAACAAACGTCTGAAGATATATTACACTACAAACGCCAATCTGACATTAATTTTTCTGGTAATTATTTGTTCAAAAGAGGATTTTCCGTACAACAATTTTAAATGTTAGGGGTATTTGTGATCAAATATATGTGTCAGTATAGCCAACCCTTGTTTCTTTGATTGTTATTGTTACAGCTCTATAATTTCAATCGAAGTTTAAGGGAAATAATTATAGCGTGTTCTAAAAGCTATGTCACAATAAATTGTTAACAGATTCAGTCTGTTTAGTAGGCAAAAAGCATATAACCTGTATCTATTATAATACGTAGTTTTATCTGTCCTAAAAATGCTCATGCACCTTACTAGCTAAATGCGTATGCGCGCGCACTATATTTTGACGGATGTAAACAAAAGGCGGGTGTAAATATACTTTAGTAGACATTTGGTAAAAAAAAAAAACATATTGAAAGCTTATCAAAGTTTTTAAAAAGATCTAATGTTAGGACGTAAAATAACGTTATAAATTTATTTACTCATAGTATTAAGTATGGTAAAGTTTAACCCTAACTGTACAAAAGCAAAAAACATACATAGGTTACAGTGTTAATTTATCTCTTTATCGAATAAAGGCCATACTTAATAAAGGCTTAACTAGAGCTAGGCCCAAGACAAATGGACTTATAGATTTCGGTTTGTATAAAACTGTGCAGGAAATTGCGCGTAGTGGTTGTTGAAAAAGATAAAAAGAAGTATATTACAGGTCATTTGTGTATAATCATTTCTGTGTGTATATTTGGGTGCATCTGTTGATATATATGTATATATAGATATGTGTGTGTGCGCGCGCAAGTATGCATATATATATATATATTTATCACTTTCTATTGTTTCAATTGTTTGTAAGTATTGTTATACACGTATATTTGTTACATTGTCCCGTCACGCGACCTTCAGTTTAGAATGTTTTCGTTTACGGATTTACTGTTCAGTTAGTGATACCTGAAGAAGGGCATTACCCGAAACTTTGTATCCACAATTATATGTATTAAATATATATATTAACTACTTAGTGGTTTGACCTATAACATACTTCTTTTTATAGATCTCGGTGTCTGCGATTAGAATTATTTTATTTGATTCTAGAAATTCTGTATTTAAAGAAGTACTGTTGCAATATAGATACTAATTTAACCGCAAATGTCTTGCAGGTCTCTGCTAGTTGACAAAATAATATGTAACTTTATTTTTATATAACGCAGTATATATAGTTAGCGAAACTTACCTAGTCAAGTGTGCCTGCTCTGCTTACTTTTATTTTATTATAGTAATGATACGAGACAGCAGACAAACACAGGTCGAAGAGTTCCGATGCTGCCACCTATTGGACATAATAATCAACAAGTATCTCGACAAGATAGTTCTCAGCGTTTACGACCACAGTCTTTAGTCGGTCGCCCTTTGAACTCGAATAACGAGGGTAAGGAACAAAAAATATATTGTGTGAAACTTAAGCGCTTTTTAAATTCAATTACCATATAAAAGTACTGTGTGTGTATATAGATTTAGCTTTATGAAAACTCAAACATAATCTCGACAAAAACGTTCTTATATAACACATTGTCGAAAATGAAAGTTTCTAATCTAGGTGCTCCCCACCCCGGCGGCTCAGCGGGAAGTCTGAAGGATTATAAAGTTAAATAAAGTTTTGATACCCACAGATGGCACTGTGTAGATAACCAATTGTGTAACTTTACGCTTAACAACAACAAAAATAACGAATTCTAATCTTGGTTTGTTTGAATTTGAATTTGTTTTTGAATTTGAATTTGAATTTGTTTT